AATACCGCCATACCCAAACATAACATAGCCAGTTCTCTTTAGAGCACTCAAAATCCCTCCCCTTTCCCCAACCCCCCAAATCAAAATCCCAAAAATGCCTGCTTTTTCTCTTATAACAATAATCATTATTATAATAATTATTATTATTGTTATCATTATTATTGTTATTATTTTTCTTCCCTATGGTGAAGGATAAATAAGTTACAGTTACAGTTTCATATCAAACATTGATTCTATATTTTTTACGTTGTTAAGAAGCTTTCTTCTAGACTAGATACATTGCTATAATGTGGGATTATATAAATTCACCCAGAATCATTTTGATTAGAGTTGTTCTCAAGATAATTAACTAATTGTATCTAAATCTATATAGAGACAGACATCATGCAGGCTGATGGTGTTAATTTGTTGAAGCTATATATCTGCAGATTTCTTGCAAGAGATGTTGTTCATATTTCCTCTGTTGGATAGCTTGGTTAAAGTGAATGTGTGTAGTTCGTGTTACAAAAAGAATAGTTGGAGTGGATAATGGCATATGCTCTTTTATACATACACTGCTATGCTATCTCCTGTGTCAAGTCTTAATGTAGGGTTTTGTTCTTAAGAAATATTAAAACTTTTGTTAATAATTTAAGTAATTCATAAGTTATTTTCTTTCATTGGAAGTAAGATTGTTTTCCCAAACATTCTCTAGTGACATCGCACGTGTGAAATCTGGATGCGAGTGTGCCACTTATTTTGCTAAAAGTAAGAAAGAAGGACTTTCCCAACGATCCTCTCTTTCCTCACGGTTGATCTCCTTGTGAATAGTTGGAAGAACGTTAGATTAAAATTAAAATTTGCGTCTACAGACGATTTGCAAGAAGAAAGGATACCTTCTTACAAAATTGGTTACAAAATCTGCCTTGGACAACTCCAAGGACTTAAACACTACCATGACTTAAAATTAACAAATTCTAATCAAACTAAATAACTTACAATTTAAAATAAATTTGCGAGAATAAAATGTGCAAAAATTAAATTAAACATGTTCACTGTTAAATTAAAATGTTATCTACTAGCAGATCTGGAAATTAAAATGCTGCAGAATTAAAGATTTTACCCTAATTAACATAAAAATTAATGTGAACAATGATTAAACTAGCATGGTTGAAGTTGAAAAGAAGTGTGAACACCACATAAGTAATCATTGAATAAAATGCTACTTATCATAAACATTAAATTAATTGCAAATAGAAAGAGAACAATATCTTGCACAAACTTGAAAGATTGAAGTTCATTGCATAAAAGGAAATTGTTGAACTGAATACATAAATTAATTTGCCTACTGGAATGATGAAAAGCAACCTAAATCCACTGGAATCTGTGCTGAAATCTAAAATCTAGAAATAATTTGCAGATGTTTAAGTAGGGCTGGCCGTGTGTTCCCCCTTCCTTTTTGTTCTCCTTGTGCCGATAGTAACCTTCACTTTTTGCAGTTACATAATCATGGATGGTTTCTTGAAATAATGGGACAGCTCATCAATTGACTTGGTTTAATCTCTTTGTAGATTTTCGTCATCTGTATCCTTATCAGATAAAACCCTTCTTTAACTGCAATTCTCTCTTACATTTTAGCTCAAACAGTTCATTTTTACCTCCAAGAAATAATTATACAGTAGAACCTCATCTTTATCTTTATTTTTTACCAAAATGACAGCTAATCTGTCATGGGACCTAAAATTACAAATCTAACCTAACTTAATCTCTTTCATCCATTAAAAAATATTTTACATGTGGTTTTATCTTAAAATTTTACAATTTATTGTGTAAACAAAGATGTTTTAAATTCAAATCGTATAGTATATAGGTGAAGTGAGATAAAGAATAAAAAATAATTGTACTCGTTGTGCAATCATGATTAACAAAAAAAATTAAAACTTTCAACTCTTCTTTAAATCTATTGGCGCAAACAAAATTTCCCGCCACTCCTACTTTCCAATTAAACCCTCATTAATTCAATTCTGCGCACCGCAAAATAAGGTCATTTTCTCAACGGCAATGGAAGGAAAATGCCATTTAATCGAAATCCCCAAGTTACCCTTCAGTTCATTCCCCTACAAGCTTCAGATTTGAATTTCAAATTACCTTCCTCAAAATTCTAACTACCAAATAAAACGCTCCAAAAAAAAAAAAAAAACCGTAATCTCAATTCATTCCCCGGCAAGCTTCTGCAAAAATATTCAAATTACCCGCTCCTCCCTCTTTTCATTTTCCTCTTATAAAAACCCCTCCCAAATCCCACAACACCGCCATACCCAAACATAACATAGCCAGTTCTCTTTACAACACTCAAAATCCCTCCTTTTTTTTCTTCCCCCCAAAATCAAAATCCCAAAAATGCCTGCTTTTCCTGAAGAGCCACTGCTAGCCTCCAACCCAGATCGTTTCTGCATGTTTCCCATCCAATACCCACAAATTTGGGAAATGTATAAGAAGGCGGAGGCATCCTTCTGGACCGCCGAGGAGGTTGACCTCTCCGGGGATCTCCGCCACTGGGAAACTCTCACCGACGACGAGCGCCACTTCATCACCCACGTCCTCGCCTTCTTTGCCGCGTCGGATGGTATTGTACTTGAGAACCTTGCAGGCAGGTTCATGAAGGAAGTCCAAGTTGCTGAGGCTCGTGCTTTCTATGGTTTCCAGATCGCCATCGAGAATATCCACTCCGAGATGTATAGTCTCCTCCTTGAAACTTACATCAAGGATTCGAATGAGAAGAATCGACTATTCCATGCTATTGAAACCGTACCGTGTGTGGCGAAGAAGGCCGAGTGGGCGTTGAAGTGGATCGATGGATCTGAATCTTTCGCTGAGAGATTGATTGCCTTCGCTTGCGTGGAGGGGATTTTCTTTTCAGGGAGTTTCTGCGCCATATTTTGGCTTAAAAAGCGTGGGCTAATGCCGGGGCTGACTTTCTCGAACGAGCTAATATCAAGAGATGAAGGGCTACACTGCGATTTCGCGTGCTTGCTCTACAGCCTTCTAAAGAAGAAACTGAGCGAGGAACGGGTCAGGGGGCTCGTGAGGGACGCAGTGAACATAGAAAGGGAGTTTGTGTGCGACGCACTGCCGTGCGCGCTGGTGGGGATGAACGGCGATTTGATGAGTCAGTACATCGAGTTTGTGGCGGACAGGTTGTTGGGTGCGTTAGGGTACGGGAAGATGTACGGCGTGGCAAATCCGTTTGATTGGATGGAGCTAATCTCGTTGCAGGGGAAAACCAATTTCTTCGAGAAAAGAGTTGGGGAGTATCAGAAGGCTGCCGTTATGTCAAGCTTGAACGGTAACGGAGGGACCCACGTCTTCAAAATTGACGAGGATTTTTAGGCTTTTAGTCTGCATAATTTTAGGGTTGTAGTTTGTCGAGTTTTTCTTTTCCCTTTTAATTTTACTTTCCTGCTTGAGAATTGCAATGGATAAAAAAAAAAAAAATTCACACTTGTAAGGTACTAATGTTATTATTGAATATTATTTTTTTTTTCTGACATTTAATTAGTTATTGAATTTTTATTCTTCTGAAATTTATGGTTTTGGGCGATTTGCAGTTTTTTTGGTTTAGATGGGTTTGAGGTTAATTTTGTAATTATATATTGTCTTGGTTTGGGTATTAAATGAGAAAGGGAGGTTGGGTTTGTTTCAGCCACAAAATTAGGTTTTGTGAGTTTGGGATTTCATTTGTTAACGAACAAATTGTGCAATGTCGTCTTCATCAAGGGCCATTACCGAGTTGCAAAGCTCTGGAATGCTATCCAGAGAACAGTTGCTTTATCTATTTGATCGATTTGCTCTCCTCACCTCCCAGCAGGGTATACTTTTTCTCTACCTTCTCTTCATTTTTGCTTCCCCCTCTCTGACATACACTATTCCTCCACAGATGTGAAGAAGAGGATTGCAGACGCTGTGAATGACAAACAGGTTTCTTAATTTTCCTCATTGATTTCAAGTCTTAAATGGGTCTAGATTGTGTAGTTGCCTAGAGCTTGGGGTTTAACTGGTTAAAAGTTTTGTAATAAGATCTATTTGCTAATACCATTATCTAAGGCCAACAAACAATCCCATTATCTTAAAACTTGCAATTACCTTTTTGCAGGAAGCTGTTGCTATTACCACTGCAATTCAGGAAGGGATATTTTTAGAGATGGGGGTTGGTAAGTTTGTCATACATCATTTGTACACGTGGTGTATCTTATATGGGTTAAGCCCTCATTTCTATTTTACCCACTGATTCATTATTATCTATGGCTAAAACTGAGGAGATTATGGTTTGGTTATGAAGATGTGTCATCAGACCTAACGGGCTGAATTGGGTAACAGAAAATGATTGGGCTGCTTCTATCCTGCTGACTATTTGCAATTCTTTACTAATCTAAAACTTCCAATATTATGTTAATTGTGAGTTCTGAAGTTATATCATTTTTTTCTACCACAGATCCAAGTTTTGGCCTTGCGTGCCTGGGGAAGGTGAATATGACTTACGAGAATGATCAAGACTTAATGATTCGCTTTTATAAATTTGTTGCAAAGTAATCTCTCACTCTCATGCATCCACTCAGTTATAAATTTTTTTGCATCTCATGTTTGGAATTGGATGCCTTTCTTCTTGAATCTGCAATTGGCTA